GGGAAGGGAGGGAAGATAGAAGGAAAGAAAGCCTCCTCACGCCCAGGCTAGTGAAAGAACGGCGTTATCAAGATGAGGAAGGGATGGGGGAAGGATGAGCAGACTGGAGGATGGGTGGAAAAGCAGGTCTGCGAGCCAGCTGCCAGGGGTGGAAACGGGTGGCCACCACTCTCAACCACCCTGGCTGCCCTCCTTGCCGACCGGGAGCAGAGCTGTCTTCCTTCAGGAGAGCGAGGAGGGAAGAACAGAAGGAGCGAGCTCATCAGGAACCTGCCTTCCTTCTGACTCCAAAAGTCTCGATAGAAAACACAGCGAGCAGTGCATCGGGCCCAGCCAACCCTCCCTCCGGAGGGCCGGCCCTGCCCAGCTCTCCCCAGAGCCTACCTGGGGAACGAAGATGAAGCAGTTGATGGTGGTTGTGCAAACAAAGATTCCTCCGGATGTGAGGCCAAAGACCAGGTTGGGCCAGGAGTGCAAGTATCTGGTGACCACAAAAAGCAGCCCGGCAGCCAGCACCACAAGGTTGACCCCCACCATGATGGTTAAAGACTGATTCACGGGAGGAGAGCTGACGTGGTCGGTGAGGCCAGCCAGGTAGGCACCATACAGCAGCAGCAGGCCCTGGAGGTGGGAGAGAACCCGAGGCTCAGGGAAGTGGAAGAACAATCTGCAGGTCCAAGAGCAGGAGGGCTGGGGCCATTTAAAATAAGGGTACTAATACCCACCTTAAAAGGTTGCTGTAGGGATTTACTCTGGCATGAGAGGACCCTTAGGGCAGCCCCTTAGACCTAGTAGGTACTTAATAAATGTTTTCCTCTCCTGCACTGAGGATTGGTTTATCAGAGGTCAGCAAGACAGGACTCTGCTGAGATAAGGCACAGGACAGGGTGGCACAGGTGGGCAGGAGCCCTACAGAAGGGGCTGCGGGCACTAGAAGGGCAGGGGGCGCATCGTGCTGCTGGTGGGGAGGGCTGCCACGTCCACTATGTGGTTTTGCACTGTGTGGAGCTGAGGGCCACGTGGAAGCTGAAATAGCCCTGTGGTCTGTTGTCAAGCCATGTGCCGTGGCAGGGGCAGGGGCAGTGCCCTGAGGAAGGGGCTTTTTTTTCTAATTTTCCCAAAGGCACCATCTGCTTGCCAAGCTCTGCACCTGCAAGACTGCATCTGTCTAGAAGGGATGCTTTTTTCTAATTTATACAAAGGATCCCTACAGGCTGGCAGAGGCTCTGTGCCAGTGGGCGTTTATGGGAGATGAAGAGTGGAAACAGGAGAACAAAGGCGGGCTGGGACTTAGACGAGACTGAGGGGCAGGCAGCAAAGGCTCCATCCATACCCTTCGCCCCCTTTGTGACGTTCCCGGCCCCCACCACCAGAAACCCAGGGCCCTGTTCTTTCCTCTTTCCCATGAGTATAAACCTGCTCTCAGATTTCTCATTTGTACTACAGAAAACGACTCACTGCCTCTCTGGAAGGAGCTGCATTAAACAGAAATCAAAGCTCTAATCAATAACATATAGATTCAACATAAGTTCCCCTGACTATATGCAAAGTGTCATGCCAGGTGTAGGGCAAGAACAAGTGCTACAAGTAAGTAAGTCATGGTCCTGCCTTTCAAGGAGCTCGGTCTGGTAGGGAGATTGAAGACAAGACACAAGTGTCCGTTTTATAACTGCATATGAAGATGCCACGGGGGATGAGGTGGGGTGGGAATGATGGGGATTCAGAGGGAGACTAACAATGAATATCGGGTCAGGTATCAGCAGGGCACCAGCCAGTGACCCCCAAATCCCACTACCTGACCAGCTCCACCTGTAGGTACGGCCCTAATGATAATTTTTGGGAGGACTAACTGCCTAGAGTGAAGGAGTCAGCATGGCAAAGATGCCTTCTGGGTGCCCCCAGTGTCCAGTGGGGCCTGAGGTGTTATCCTGGGACCTTCAATGGTTAGAAAATACACCACTCAGGAGGCCAGAGGGGCCTGACTTTTGGTAACTGATGCCATCAGGAGGCATTTGGCAGAGTTGTATTATTAATAATCTAATCAAAGGTGAATGAAATTAACTCTGTGATTTTGAAATGTTGAAATCTGATTCTATTAAAACATTTCAATTCCATTAAAATCCTTGTCCGATGGGAACTAGTATTAATGCGCCCCTATACATCCATGATTTGTGCTTGAGTGAATCTCATATACTCGTATGTCATTGACCTTCACTGCTGGGAAGTGTGGGGTAGTGGGCAGTTGACAGGCTCAGGTGGGGGCTCCTGGGACTTTAAGTGGAGGTTTGGGACTTCCTCGGGGACTGCTCATTGACCAGGGAGCCCCTGGGGTCTGGCTCAGTCAGTTTCCTGATGCTCAGCACTCTCTCCCCCTTTTCTTTCTTTGCCCTTCAGAAAGATATTACAGTGAAACAAAATAGAAATGGGATTATATAAAAGGCAATGGGGAAAATACATCAAGTTGAGTGTCAAAGTGAGTTGCTGTGGGGGACGTGCGGCGTCTGTGCTGGGGGGGACATGCTCTCCTCCAGGGGCTCTCCTCCAGGGGCTTGAGAGCGGCTATTTTTCAGAACCGTCTAGGGGCACAGCAGCAGATTAAAAATAATAACTAACATTTACTGAGCTCTCACTATGGGCCAGGAGTGGTTGAAAACTCTCAGGATGCATTAGCTCCTTTGCAACTCAAAATGGTTGAGTGGGTATTATCATCACCCCCATTTTATGTAAGGGACCCAAGACTCAGAGAGGTTAAATGAGGCTCAGGGTCAGCTAGGAAGGGGCTGCGTCAGAATTCAAACCCTGCTCTGTCATATTCTGAAAGCTCATTAGCAAGAAACTAGAGAAGAGCTGTTCACTTCCTAGTGTTTTCTTTTTAAAATACGTCAATCAAAGTAATATATGCACATAATTAAAAAGCAACATTTCCGTGTGCCAGCCCTGCCCATCCCTAGGCCAGTTTCTCTGAAGCAACCACTTGAAAGTTTACTTTTGGATAAGGCAGCAGGGGTGCGGACAGGAATGGGGAAGAGGGAGCCAACGGGGGGAAAAGAGGGCATCTGTAATACTTTCAACAATGAAGATAAATGAATGAATGAATGAATGAATGAATGAATAAATAAATAAATAAATAAATAAATAAATAAAGTTTACCTTTGGAGACCACGTATTTCTAGAAAGACTCCTACTCTGGCCAGCAATCAGTCAATCAGGCCTTTCTGCCCTGATAATCGACAGGCAGCCTCCTGGCACACAGGGCTTGCCCTGTTCATTGAAACGGGCCTGCCCTATGCTCCCCAGAGCCAGATCCTCTGTCCCTCCAAGCTGAAAACCAGAAAACCAGCCAACAGGACAGTTGGTCCCTTAGTGCCCCATGTAGGTATCCTGTACCCTCTGGAAATAGTATCCTACTTTCGCCATCTAACAGAGACAAATGAGTCTAATGATGGGAGATTCAGGGCGGGAGACACCTGAGGCAGCTGCAGTCACTCAGAGGACACTGTGGATGTTGTCATCTGCCTTAGGGCCAGCCCTGCTCCCAACCAGAGTGAGAGAGGTAGGTGGGTGAATGCAGCAGATACCTTGACACAATCTCCCTTGCAGGGGTCTGGGAAGAACACTGACACTGCCAAATCAGTTTAAAACACCAGGCCAAGACATGGGAAACACAGTGGGTGAATTCCACATGACCTGGGGAGAACAAAATGAGGGAGTCCAAACAGTTGAAAAAGTGACCCCCTAAAAAAATAGAAAAGTAATAAGAGTCATGGCTTTGAGATTTATGTATCAACCGAGGTCGCCATGATTTCAAGATTCTTTGCAGGAACCACCTCGCTAATTCCTTCTTCATGTATATCCATTTTGTTGGTGAGAGACAGACTGTCTCCCAAGGAGATATGGTTACCAACCTTGCATCCCAAAACAAGGGCAATCCAGACATCAGAGTACCGGGAAGCACAGAAGTGCGTGCTGGTCAGCGAGCAGGCCACTTCTCTCCCTGCCACCTAGGAGGGACACAGAGTCAGGACCGAGCGCAGCCACAGTGACCAGGAACACACAGCAGGTCCCTGCAAAGGTCCTGTAACATGAACCCCTCTACAGCATATATTTTCCCCCTTAATGTATAAAAGTTATCAAATTTAGTTGACTCCACTGGGTAAATGAAAGTGGTATTAATTGGAGGAAAAGATGATAAAGTTGGGCTGACATGTGGATACTTGGTGGCAGCAGGGCTTACCCTCTGTTGTATGCTTTGTCACTACAATGATTCACATTCATCAGCAAAATTACAAATTATTTCACATGATGGTCCTGTTATTTGTTAACAGTTGAAACCTTAAATATTAAATCTGCCATGCCAAGATTCCACTGTATTCCTCAGCCCCTTGTGAGGCTGGAGACATCGTATTTCCTATTAATTGAACACTATGTACCAGGCACAGGTGAGTTCTTTACCTGCATTCTTTTACTTGTCACCAAAGCCCTGAGAAACAGGTAGTATTACTGTCTCCATTTGACATATGAGGAAATAGAGACTTAGAGAGGTTAAATGACTTTCCCAGGGTCACATGGCTACAAAGTGGTAGAGCTGGGATTTGCTCCAGGTTTGATTGACTCCAAAGACGACCTCAAAATACTACTTTTACTTCCCAAGAATTGGGGGAAGGTAACCTCCTGTTGCTCAAAGTTCTTATTATTGGTAATGTGGGAGCAGAGATAGCTGCCAGGCAGATGCCGGTGTGCTGACGTCTCAGTGGGTGCAGGGGGAGGACACCTGGGGCAGGAGGAGCAGTCGGAGCAGTAGCACATCTTGCAGACAAGGGACAAGGGATTCACAGCAACCACAGCTCACGACTCTCCCTCTTCTTCGGGTCACTTATCTTCTTGTTGTGAGGATGCCCACCCAGTGAGTGCTCCTGGGAGAATGACCCCGGTGTGCCCACAGAAGCCAGACCCTCCAGTTCAGGAAGTGGATTTTCAGGGATTGGGCCCCTCACCGTCATACTGACTCCGAGAATCTGGAGGCATTGGATGGGGTCCGTCAATACCCACGTCATGAGCAGGATCACATCAGCTATCACCAAGGCTGCCACCAGCCCCAGTAGCTGCAGGTCTTTGATTATCTGAAAAAGAGTCAAGGTTATAACTTTCCCTATCTCACTGGCTATACAGGCTAGAGTGTCCTATATATTCTGAACTATAGACTCCAGGGTTAGTTCTCCCCAAAAGCTTCAAATCCAGCCATCAAATGTAAAACAGATAATAAATATTTACAATGATTTCTGTGTCCATATCATAAGCACCATTAAACATTTCCATTTGTTTATATTTTCCATATCCTGCCTTTTTCCACAAAATATTCAAGGGTTTTATAAAATAAATACTCTATTATTTCTAGATATGTATATATGAGCAGATAGAGAGATGTGGGAGTTTTCGCATAAAAGTATTAACCACCATTAACCTGGTGGGTGGGATTGAGAGCTGAGGGTGGTGCAAACACTTTTTATACTTGTATGAATCACTGAATTTTTAAAAAGTGTTACTTTTGTCACTAAAAAATAAAATTAAGAAAACATATACCCTGCAACAGAATGAAAAATTGAAAAACGTTAAGGAAAAGAGAAAATAAAGAGAATTATGATGAAGGCTCAGGTGAGTAGATTACATAACATTCATGAATTGGGGCAGAAATGTGGATCTTAGTTTTTGTCAACCAATGGAAAAAAGAAAGTTCAACCAGTACATGAGTCATGGTGTTTATAAGATAAAAACAAATCGATTGCTTAATCAAGCTGTTCAAAACCAGTAATACAGAGTAAATCTTTAAAGCAGCCAGCAAACAAAGATACATTATGCAGAGAGAAACAAAGACAAGGAAGACATCAGATATCTCATCAGATACAAGGCCAAGTGAGAAGACAATGGAGAAAAATCTTTCAAGAACTAAAAGTAAAAAAGAAAACCTCAACCTAGAATTCTACATCCAGCAAAAAACATCTTTCCAAAACAAAGGTGGAATAAAGACTTTTTCAGATAAACAAAAGCTGAAAAAATTTAGCACTAGTACACTTGCATGAGGATGTTAGATATCCTTCAAGAAAAAAGAGAATAATATCAGAATACCCATACAAGGAGGTTAAGAGCTCTGGAAATGTTAACTTCATGGAAAAATAAGTGATTGGTTTTTATTTTAAAAATATCTTTAAAAGATAACTAATTTTAAACAAAAAAAAATAACAATTGTGTGGAGCTTATAACATATGTAAAAGTAAAAACAATAACACAAAGATTGAGACAGGGAGAAATAGAAGCCTACTACTGTAAAGTACTTCCACGAGGTGAATGCCAATTATACACAAACTCTTCCAGAAACTGAAGAGGAGGGAATACTTCCCAGTTCATCCTATAAGGCTGGCATTACCCTGATACCAAAGTCAGAGGAAGATTTTACAAGAAAAGAAAATTACAGAGCAATATCCCTTATAAACATTAATGCACACATTATAAACAAAATTAATTTAACAATATAAGAAGAGGATAATACATCATGACCAAGTGGAGCTTGTCTTGGGAATTCAAGGTTGGTTTGCAATCCTAAAATAATTTAATGTAATCCAACATTTGAACAACTAAAAAAGAAAAAAACATATAATCATGCCAACAAACACAGAAAATGCATTTTACAAAAACCATCAATTCTTTACAAAGACATCAATTCTTTATAAAAACTCTCAGGAAAATAGAAATAGAGGAGCTTCCTCAGCTAAATAAAGGGCATCTACAATGAGATTACAGCTAACATCTTACTTAGTTTTGAAAAACTGAATGCCTTCCCCATAAAATAAAGAACAAATCAAGAATGTCTGCACTCAGCACTTCTATTGAATACTGTACTCTTGTTTCTAGCCAGTGCCATCTACAAGAGATTGGACAGAAACTGTCTTTACTCACAGATGATATGATAATCCACATAGAAAATTTGATAGAGTCTATTTGAAAAGCTACTAGAATTACTAAGTAAGTTAGTAAGGTTTGCAGTAAATGAGATCAGCATACAAAAACCAATTGTATTTCTATATATTAGCAATAAAAAATTGGAAAGGCAAATAAAAAGCAATAACACGTACAGTAGCACAAAAATATAAAATACTTAGAAATAAATCTAATAAAAGATGTGAAAGACTTCCAATAAAAGTACAAAAAAAATTGCTGACAAAAATTAAAGAATGCCTAAAAAAATGGAGAAATATACTGTGTTCATGGGTTAAAAGACACAACATTGTTAAGAAGTCGATTCTCTACAATTTGATCTATAAACTCAACACAATCTCAAACAAAATCCCAGGAGGATTTTTGCAGAAATTTGCAAACCGATTCGAAAATCCCTATGAAAACCCAAAGCACCTAGAATAGCAAAAACAACATGGAAAAAGAAGAACACAGTTGAAGAACTAACATTTCCCAATTCAAGACTTAATATAAAGCTACAGTAACCAAGATAATATGGTATTTGTATCAAAATAAACATCAATGAAACAGAGTAAAATTCAGAAATAGATCTATGCATCTATGGACAAATGATTTTCAACAAATATACAAAGATAATTCAGTGAAGAAAGGACAGTCTTTTCAACAAATGTTTCTGGAACAATTGCATATCGATATGTAAAAAAGTGAATACTGGTCCATGCAGTACGCCATATTTCAAAATTAACTAAAACATGGATCATAGGCTTAACTGTAAAAACTACTAAAAGTAAACACAGGAGAAAATCTTTTGGGGCCTTGGGTTAGGCAAAAATTTCTTAGATCTGATACCAAAAATTTGATCAATTAAAAAAATTAGATAAATTGAACTTCATCAAAATTAGAAACATCTTCTTTTTGAAAGACACTCTTCAGCAAATAAAAAGAGAAGCCACAAACTGGAAGAAAATCTTTGCAAATCACGTATCTGATAAAGGACTTGTATCCTGAATTTTTAAAAAGGAACTCTCAAAACTTAATAATAAGAAAAACAAACAACAAAATTTAAGTGTGAGACATGAGCAGAGACTTCACCAAAGAAGATATACAGGGTGGGGCAAAAGCAGTTTTACAGTTGAATGTGTTTCACAGAGCTTATTCTTGTATTATTATTGATTAATTACTGTGTTATTTTCCACATAAACAACTGTAAACCTACTTTTGTCCCACCCTGTATACATGTGTAAAGATGCTCAACAGCGAAGTAGGGAAATGCAAATTAAATCACAGCGAGAGACTATTACACACACCCATTAGAGTGGCTAAAATAAAAAAGACCGGCTAAGTCAAATGTTGGAGAGGATGTGGAGGAAAGGGACCCTGAGGCTCTGCTGGTGAGAATGTAATATGGTACAACCACTTTGGAAAACAGGCAATTTCTTAAAAGTTAGATATACATCTACCACGTGACCCAACCATTCTACTCTTGGGTTTTTTATCCAAGAGAAATGAAAGCATATGTCTACGTAAAGACTTGTACATGAATATTCATAGCAGTTTTATTTTTAATAGCCCCGACTGGAAACAAACCCAAACACCCATCAACAGGTGAATGGAGAAACAAGCTGAAGCGTGTCTACACATGGAATACTACTCAGCAATGACAAGGAAAGAACCACTGAGGCACACCACACATGGGTGAACTTCAAAATAATTACTCCAAGTAAAAGAAGACAGACCAAAAAAAGTACAGACTGTATTATTCCATTTATATAAAATTCTGGGATGTGCAAACTCATCTATAGTGACAGGAAGCAGATCAATGGTTGCCTGGGGGACAGGGACAGGGGATGTAAGGATCGGACAGGAGAGGGAGATAAAGGTGTATGAGGAAGTTTTTTGGTGTGGATTATACACCATATTTAATGAATGTACACACACGTCAAAACATGAAATCATACAATTTGAATATGTGCAGTTCATTGCTTATCAGCTATGCCTCAATAAAGCTATTTTTTTAAAAAAAGAATCAGAATTCTAGAGAGATGGATAAACTTCTTGTCCTTTTAGGCAATGTTTTTCATATGCATGGGTACTCACAGCTGAGCTTTTGATAAATGTTCACCATTATTCAATAACTAAAAAAAGCTCCCTCAAAATAAAAAGCACCATTCCAGAGGAGCTCATTGAGAAATACATTGGATTTGGGCAGAGTCTATAGACAAAGTTTCATGATCAAGCTTTGAGGTTTGGGCAGCTCCATCAGGGAAGCTAAAAAAGTGGGGGGATGTGGTTAGGATGACATCTGATAACAGGAACATGTAGGTGACCTGCTGCCACATAGCTTCTAGGGTTGATTCTATCTGCTGAAGGGGTGTCCTCTCCCTTGTTCACTGCTCCAGGCCCATCCTTGGTGCAGAGAGTGGCCTCCTACATGGACAAGAACTGGGCTCCACTGAGGGAAACAACTGCTTACACTTGCTAGAGCTTCTCTGTACTCACCCTCCCTCTGCTTTCAGCTCACACCTGTGCCAAGCAACAGTCTCTCTGGGCACCTCATGCTGGTGCCACCTATAGGCCACCTCACATCCCCAGAGCAGTACCAGGGCCTTGGGTGCATATGAAGCAGAACCTATGTCCACACACCTATCTCTCCAATAGCAGTGACACACAGCCTTCTAGGCTTGGGGACTTAGGAGGCCACACGACTCCAAGTTTGAAGTGAGGAGCGGGAACTTCAGACTATTGTAAAAGGGCCAGACTCAGTAATCTCTCAAAGCTTCTCTAGCTTTTAATCAATAGTGAAGCAGCCATCTGCAGTCAAGCACTATGTACTTGCTGCCCACTCACCACTCTCTTGTCCGGGACCCTCTGGGTAAACACCTTGTAGAGTCGCCAGCTCTTCCCCAGAATGGGTCCAAACACAAGGGAGGTCCCAATGCACAGCATGGACAGTCTTACCTACGGGTGGAAAGGGACAGAAGCAAAAGACATGAAAGGAACAACTGGCATTCTCCACACATTCTGACCTGCAAAGCCTCAGGCCAGAGAGGGCTTGGCACTGAAAGTGGACCTCGTTGACTAAGCAGTCCAGGGATCGCCTCTGAAAGTGCCCACACCAAGGACATAGGTAACCACCACCCATAGGAGGAAGCTGATTAAAAAATTATCAAAACTTTGGCATTATATTTAAAACAAAAGTGAAGACTTCACCTACCTGAATGAGAGTTTCCATTGAGCTTCCCACTGAAGCATCTTGACCTTGAATCCCAAAGAGGTAAGCGCTACTGTAAGTCAGACAACTGCCCAGCAAGGTCACAATGTTCAGATTGGGACTGGACATCTTCACAATCCTAGAGGGAGTCAGGAAAAAAGGCAGCTACAGTCATGACCCCTTCCCCGGGGGTGGACACAGCTTCCCCACCAGCTGCATCAGCCTCAGAATGAAGAGCCACTGGGGAGAAACCACTTTATAGGCCTGTAAAATATTGTTGATTTATTTAAATTTATTTTCAAAGGGAACTAAATTCTGGCTTGTCTTGCTTGTAGAACTCCAAGTCTTTTAAGAGAAGGTCAACTTCTAAAAGAGGAGTCTCCCATAACGTTGATGGTTGCTAAGAGACTGCTGTATGCAGCCCAGTGAATAAATAACTAGCAGGCAGATGCCTAAGGAGATGCAGTTAGGAGTCTTTAGAAATGAGCTGTAAGTAAATCACCATTTGGAAAAGAGGTTTGGGAATTATTCATACCCTATTACTTTATTTGATAAGTAAACTGTTTTTCTGTCTCTACCCCACAGGAGAGAAAGAAGATGCAGGACTGAAAGCAGGAAATATGGCAAGGGGTCTCCTCTCGAGGGGTTTTAAATTAGGTTACGGAGCAATACAAAGATTAGAGGGCAGGATGGACTGTCACGGTCTTGGACAAACCCTGGGTGCCAGCAGAGGCTCAGGACAAGGTAGAAATGTGTGCATTGTTAACCTTAGGGGAAAACGAGGCCTAAGCTGTTTTTTTGTTTGTTTTTGTTACGGATAACAATTAAGAAGTAAAGGTAACTACGAACAGTTAAGGAGGAATGTATAATTGTATTTAAGAATTTTAGTCTAAATAGTATTTTACATAAATGCAATATTTATACTGAGTCCTATGATAATTATACTTAGTTATATTCTTACTTTTGATAATAACTGGGCATTGTTATCTATATATCTGGATTACCTGGCTGACCACCTTAAAAGTCCAGAGCCAAGGCAAAGACATCTGCTTAGTGCACCCTGTTTTAAGGGCAGCAAAATATCTAGGAGGCATTAAACAGTTTGCTAGTGCTGGATTTGCAAACAGTATGACCACCACTGGCCCAGCTTGATTACTTTGTAGCTGGTAGCATAATTATGTCCACACCTGAAAGGACACCAAAGAACTGCCCCTGATGCAGGTCCCAAGTATAGTCACCATAAACCAGAGTCCTGTTGAACTTTCCCTTGTCTTGGAGCAAAAACCTTTATATTTTTCCCCCCTAAAAGTAAAAACAACTTTCAGGTATTCCAGTTATAAAATGGGGGTAATAATACTCCTTCCCCTCCAAGATGTGAGGAGTCGATGAGGCAATAGAGTGAAGTGTGTGGCATAGGACCTGGCACCTAGCAAGCAACAATGCTGCCAATATTAGTTGATGATATTATTAATCTTACCACCTTCCAGGCTTTAGAAACCTAGGAATCACATTTCCTTCTCCTGTTTGTGTATCATCTATACCCAATCAATGGCCAACTGCTTTCTCCTGCTACTTCAAAATCTTTCTGAGTTGTCCTTCCCTCTCCATTCCTGCTACCACGTTGATCTAAGATACAACTACATTAGGAGCAATAGAACTGGAGGCAGGTGTGACAAATGGGAATCCTGGCTCTGTTCCTCATAGCTGTGTGACTAGGGCAAGTCATTTAACTACTCCTAGGATCCTGTTTCCTCATGGGTGAAATGAAGATAATATCATCTTTCAGGTTCACCCCACAGGTTATTGCAAAGATCAAGAGAGGCGAGTGCCAAAACTCTTTGAAAACCCTAAGGTCATGCAAAAAATATTAATTTTTAGACTTTTAGTGTAACCTTTAGCTCTCTGTAACACCCGTTTTCCCCTGTCCTAATACTTCCTGTACATTACTTTCAGACTTATTTTCTTAAAATACCACTCTCATCACTTAACAAGAGTGTTACATGTATAAAGAACATTTGTCTATTGTTTGCCTTAAGTCTCCTGTATCCAAATTTAAGATCCAGCCCTAACATCCTCAGTCATCACGTCTTCAAACTGTGGACTCACAGAGAGTAATCTTCCCTAGTTTCTTTATCTCTTCCCATAAGAAAGGGAATTATATGGTGAATATTGACTACTGAAATGAAAACAATGCTAACCAGCAGCTCCACAAAGCATTTAAGAAGAGTAATTCATTCAAGAGACCAGTGCTGACAGTGGTTCAGAAAGGAGAGCACCACTGACCTGGGACGGGCCACTTGGTGCAGTCAGAAGCTTGGGCAGTGATGCTACTAGAACTGGGTGGGCTTCTGCAAGACCAGTAACCGAGGCCATTCTTCCCCATGGCCACCCGCAAACTCCTGGGCATGAGAAATAAATATCTGATGGTGACCTCACTCAGCAACAGCCTGGGCTTCACAGCCACACATCTGTGTTGTCTAGATCACTGATGGGTAGATTTCTTTCTTCATTCTTCTCTGGACCCATTTTATGTGAACTACCACTGTTCAATCAGATCTCCTTTCATGTAATTCAGCACTGCATGAATCCAGATTTAAAACTCCTCCCTCCTGATTTAGTTAGGAGGAACTCAATTTAGTTATTTTTGACAAAATATATATGACATAGTCTTCACATCTCAGAAGTTGGTGCATATTCATTTTTCAAAGGGACATGATATGGACTTGTATATGGATACTTCACAGTAAAACAATTTTACTGGAAACTTGTCCCAGAAAAAAAATGCATGCAGAATGATTTACCTATTTTGTTTGACCAAGTTAACACCTGTGAAGTCACTGAAAAGTGAATCATCTCGCATTCAGCAGGTGAATTATGTATGTCTGGGGAATGTCTTTGCTACTTTGATAGGAATTCAACCAGCAATGTCTTTTATATTTTTCTATTAAACTAAAAGATGAAACTACATTTGCTGAATGTTTTAATCAAGCACAAACCCATAATTTCCACAAAACAAGAAGATTTAAATATTATATACTTAATTATGAAGAGCAAGTCACATCTAGGTTACTTGTGTTGAGTTTACAAAGAAGATAAAAGCTTGGACTGGGTTACCGGCAGTCAAAAACAAGGTGAGTTTTTTGTTTTGTTTTGTTTGAAAGGATTACATAGTGATCTCATCATTTTTTCCCTTCATTTACTGATTGGCAATATAAGGCAAGAACTTTCTTGATTTTTTTATTCTCAAGTAACTTCTCAGTACATAAGAGAAACTTATCCATCTGCATCTGCAGAACTTGTATGAACCTGGATTACCGTCTCAATAGTCTATAATAAATTCAGATGCATAAGTGACACCCACCAGCTTATAGGTATGATGTCTTAAAAATTTTTATCAAATATTGGTTTCTGAACTTGGAGGTTTATTATATTTAGAGTTATGGAGGACTGACTGGTCACGCTATTGTTTCTTTTTAACAATGGGTAAGGCTGAGTTTGGAAGCACAGCCTGCCAATGGGGCAGAGGGCACTTCTTGGCTTGCTGTGGCTACTAGAAAACTTCCCAAAGATGTCACACGGCCATGCTTTCTAAAAATGCTACATGAGTTGATATAAATGGTATCATTGAGTTTTAAACATACTTAAAACCAAATATGAATGTTTTTCCAAAAAAATTGTAATAAAATAATGAATATATCGTGAAGATTTATTGAATTTCTTTTTCAATCCATTGTTTTTGATCTGTGCTACAGAAGGATTATACATCTATGTCATCTGGATCTGTTCCAAACAGCTTTACCGTAATGTTGTCTGGTGTGTTTCAGCAAATGTGATCATTTTTCTATCTTGCTTATTTCTAATCTATTAGGTTCAAAATCTGAATCCAATTCAAATTCTGTACACTGCAAACTAATAGTTGTGTCACTTCTAGCCATTTATATGAAAACTTCGTTTCATAACAGCAACAGCAGCCTTGTCCTGCTCCTTCCCTCTCCTGCCTGGGCCACCATCCTAGGAGATTTCATTAACCTTTCAGCCTCCAGAGTTCTGTATCATTTAATCACAATGACTTCACTTTATTCCACTTTCAGATACTCATCTCCAGGGTCATACCCTGGGTCTTATTATTATTCAGAATGGTACCACTTCAGAAATTTTAAACATCAATATCCCACTCTCTAATCATAATCCATCCAAAACTTAACTCCTAGTCTTTTTTTAATTTTATTTTTCAATTACAGTTGGCATTCAATGTTATTTTATATTAGTTTCAGGTGTACAGCGTAGTGGTTAGACAATTATATAATTTACAAAGTGATCCTCCAATAATTCCAAGTACCCATTTGGTACCATTCATAGTTACTATAATATTATTAACTATATTCCTTATGCTGTATTTTACATCCCTGTGACTATTTTGTAGCTACCAACCTGTATTTCTTAATCCTTTTACCTTTTTCACCCAGCTCCCCAACCACCTCCCCCTGGCAACCATCAGTCTGGTCTCTGCATCTATGATTCTGTTTCTGTTTTGTTTGCTCATTTATTTTGTTCTTTAGGTTCACATATACGTGAAATCATATGGTATTTGTATGTCTCTATCTGACTTATTTCACTTAGCATAATACCCTCTAGGTCCATCCATGTTGTCACAAATGGTAAGATTTCATTATTTTTGTGGCCGAGTAATATTCCATTGTATATATGTATCACAACTTTTTTATTCACTTGTCTACTGATGGCACTTGGGCTGCTTCCATATCTTGACTATTGTAAATAATGCTTCAATGAGAATAGGGGTGCATATAACTTTTAACTCCTAGTTTTCCTCCTCAACCTGTTCCTCTCAAATTCTACACCACTTTAGAAAATGGCAACTCCATCTTTCTATCTGCTTGGACCAGAAATCTTGGAGTCATTCCTGACTCTTGCTCACCACCCATATGCAATCCGTCATGAAATCCTATCGGCTCCATCCCTGAAATATGCCCAGAATCCAACTACTGCTCACCGCCTCTGCTGCCACCTCCCTGACCAGAGGCTTACTTTGCATCTGCCGTTTGGATGATTGCAACAGCCTCCTAACTGGTCTCCCTGGTTCTCCATAGGGCCTCCCCTATGTCTGTTTTCAACACAGCA